CAACAAAGGCTTTTGTACAAAGTATTAGATAAATTTCAGTAAGTGTGTTCAATACTTATTCCCTGTGCCATTCCACTGGTTTGATTTCTTTGTATGTATGGATCACTTGGGTTGTTACCGATATCTGGTGAAAATTTCATGTCATTAGCACCTCTAGTAATATATTTACTGAGAAAAATGTTGACGTGTTCAATACTTATGTTACTCACTGTGTGTTTAAATAGAAAACAAACTTGACTTCACATCATGTTTGTCTCTAAACCCCTTGAGATTGGCCTCCGTCTTTTTAAGAACCGCCTTCTGCTTCTGTCCTGCCCATTTCAGCACGGGGCCGGGTGAGTGGGTGTGCTCTGTGATGAGGAAGCTCAGCTTGGAGACACAGCCCAGAGTAGGAGCTGATCCCAAAAGGCAGTTCTAGGCCCAACCAGTCATTTTTGCTCCCCTGCCTGGCTGCCTCAAGATACTACAGGATTTTTCAAACATGCATGAATGAGTCAAAGCAAGACTCTGGGCATGTTTTTGATGAGAGGATAACATTATAACATGGTATAAAACTCAAAAAAGTTGATTTCACATGATATTGCCCCTTTAACAAGCATGAAACATAAAGTCTGTACTGTATTTTTGTGTAAAATGTGTTTAATTGTTGCAGCTTTTGTTGTACAGTTTAGTTCAGTGTCTTACCTTAGATGTATAACCATCTCATGCTAAAGTTTAGCTAGACAGCTGCAGAACAGATAAATTGGTATTTCACAAAGCTGCAACTGTTGAAGACTTGCTGGGGACTTAAAATTGTGAGAAAACAAAAGTTAGTCATTGCAGTCTCACTGAATTCTGAGTGTTGTTGGTGACCAAGAGACGAGCATGACATGCTCTCACAGATTGTAATGTAGGACGTACACAACATTTTGTTTCCCACATTTGCTTTGATTTTGCTCCCCACTTTGGCCCTTTTAATGTGGGTTTTAAACCTGGACGCATCAGGCTGTAGCCTCAGCTGAGATGAGCTACCGTGCTACAGCTCAGATGTTTTTGAGACAGGTTGGTGATGCATGCAACAAAAGTGTGATCTGCAAAAGCTCTATGACTATTTTAACAGAAAAAATTGTTGGACAAACATTTTGAACATCGTTAATGCAAATGACTAGACTGCGAGCCTTTTTGACGTAGTGATTGAAAACCCTCACAAAGCTCATGAGACATATTGGAGACTATGGCAAATAGTGGTCAGCAGTCACAGCCCATATGGGTACCCTACTGTGAGATCCCATCAGTTTATGTAAAGGTGTAATGGCAACACCTGAAAGCAACTAAGAGGGTGTTTCAAGTCAAAATATTTGAGCATGATCCATTGAGACTTTGAACAATGTATGTAGTGGTAAGAGTTGGGGCAGGGATAACACCAGGAAACAAGATTTACCCTTTACTCACCACGTTCTCTAACCTCAGCTATCCTAATTTTCATTACAAAGATTGGTTAGCCATCTAGGTAAACAGATTTAACACGCTTCTTCCTTTTCAGGGTCGCGTGGGTCACTGGTGCCCATATCCAGCAGTCACAGTGCGAGGGGCGGGGTACACCCTGGACAGATCACAAGTCCATCATAGGGCCACACAAAGAGACAAACGAGACAAACAACCATTCACTCTCTCACTCACACCTAGGGACAATTTAGAGTTATCATTTAACCTAACAGTCATGTTTTTGGTCTGTGGGAGGAAGCCGGAGTACCCGGAGAGAACCCATGCAGGCACGGAGAGAACATGCAAACTCTACCCAGAAAGGTCCCTGGACCGGGATTTGAACCGGTGACCTTGCTGAGAGGCATCAGCTCTACCAACTGAGCCACCGTGCCGCCCTATTTATTTATTTATTTATTTATTTACTTATTTATTTTTCTGTTTTCCTCCCTCATTTTCTGGTGTCATCTGTGTCCTTTAAATTCTTTTGCCTCCAGGTCTTTGTTTCTAGTTTTGTATTGTCTCATTGTTTTTCAAATTTGTTTCATTTTAAACTGGAACATTCTTTCCAGTGCATTTGCCTGTGTTTGACTTTGGCCTTTTCCAAGTCCTCAAACGTGATTGATGCTGGAGGACTGGGACACACGCCAGGGGAGGGGAGCTGCTGGGGGACACAAGCTTTCTTCCGTCACCTCCCTGAGCTGGATGCAGGGGGCAAGACAGGGGGCCAAAGGGCGGCCATCTTTTTCCCAAGCCTCCAGCTTGGTCTCTGGAGAGGTGGTGGTGAAGGGAGGGGGGTTTGGGAGTGGAGTGAGCTGCATGTTTGTGCGTACATGAGTGGGAGTTGGGGGTTTGATGGGATTTGCTGATGCTTGTTGCCAGAGACACACACTCCTCCGAAGCCCTCCACTGC